AGAGGGGAGGGAGCTTCCTGGGGAGGCCTGGAGTGCTGCATGCTGCTTTGGGGTGTGTTGTCACAAGCTCTAGCTCCAGTTCCTGTCTCAGCAGTGGTGGAGACGCTGGTGTCTTCCTGCAGCCCTGAGAAGAATGCTGCCCGGAGCCAGCAGCTCTTCCTGCCAGGTAGGCAATTGCCAGGGGGCACCTCCCCAGGTCCCGCTGTTTGTTTGTCTTCTCTTCCCTAGGAGGCTGCTGGTCCTGTGTCTATGTGCTCTCCAGGACACTATGAGTCCCCTTGGCTGTGGCTGGGGGCTGTCCTGGTGCCCTTCCCAGCATAGAAGGGGCCAGGGCTCAGCATGGTGGCTCTTGGGGTATCTGGGATGCACTGTGCACAGGCCAAATGCCAGGCATTGCCAGGCAGGTTGCTCACTAGCCTCCAGGAGGAGGTCAGGCTTTGCTGCTCTTCCAGACTGGGGGCCGTGGCAAGTCCATGGCTTCCTGCTCCTTTGGGAGAGGAGGCCAGGCTTGGCCCTTCCCCACCCACCATGGATGCTGGGCCAGCCAGGCTGGGCTGCTAGAGGCTCACCCTGGGCATGGAGGAGCTTGCAGAGCTGCCAAAGCAACTATCTGACCTTTTTGTAATCCCTGTCCTGCCTGTCTCTGACCGAGGCAGACCCCAGCCCCAGGAAAAACAGGGGTGCTGGCTCAGCTTTGCCGGCCAAGAGGAAGATCCCAGGAGAGTCTCTCATTAACCCTGGCTTCAAAAGGTAAGTGCTGCTCGCAGGCCCAGTGTTGGGGCTGGGCTGCACTGGAGATCAGTGGACTCTGCTCTGTAGCTGCATGGGGGCAGAGCATGGAGCTTTGGGCTGTGATGCTCTTTCCATCTCCTTCTAGCAAGAAGACACCGTCTGGAGTGGATTTTGAGGATTCCTGACCTGGGCTGTCCTATCCCCCAATGACAGCCCTACCCGAGCTTTGTCAACCACATGTGTGGCTGGGGGAGGAGGTTTCACTGCACCCTGGGCCTTCTGAGCCCCTTGTGGCCAGGGAGGTGGATGGGGCAAGCAGGACTCAGAAGGCTGGAGCCAGTGCCTGGCAGGCCTGAGTGGGCAGCAGATCCTCAGCTGTCGCTGGGGGGACAGAAAGTGATGGCTTTTTTCCCTGCAGCTCTTCCTTGCTGGCAGGGGTCACCTCTCTACCTCGCTTGCCATGAATTGGTGGGGTTTTTAAATAGCTTTTATATCACCATGTAACAAAATGATTGCCTGTGCTTAACTTACTGCCAGTAAAGGTGGTTTTAGCCAGCCAGACTCTGGGGACTGGGACAGCGCGGATGTGTTGGTCCATTCTGCCTTCCCCTTGCTCAGGAACGCTGTGGCCAATTTCAGCTGAACCTGGAGGGTCAGGGGCTCAGAAGAGTTCACTTTCCTGCTACGTTTGTGCCAGTGGGCTGGTGGGTGAGTGATTAGATCCTCCCCAGGTCCTTGGCGAGCTGGGAGAATGGGCCCAGCCCTTGCTGGGCACTGGGAGAGGACTGGAAAGCTGGTGCAAGTCCGGTGAGGGAGGGGAGCTGCTGGGGCTGGTCACTCCAAACTCACATTTATCTCACTTGCAAAGCCTTTATTGATTTCCAGGAGCTCTGATACATGGCTTGGACTTGCCCCGCTTCACCCTCATCCCTCTCCAAATCTGCTCCTGAGAGCTTCCTAATGGCAGGTTCCGGGGGAACAGTGCCCTCCACTCCCCTCACCCAGGGCAATAGGGGCTGGGCTGTGTCCACCACCCACAGCATCCCCCTGGCTCCATCCCCAGGGCTCTGCCAGTTCCCCTCACCCAGTGCAGTTACTTGGAGGCATCCTATGGTGCCTGCTGCCCTGGCACAACCCTGCCTCGGGTCACTCACCTGGCGGGTGGCACAGTGTGCCTGCAAGGGAGGCTGCAGGGATGCCTGCTGCAGTGCACTGCCCTCTCCGTGCCCCGCAGCTCTGAGCAGCTTTTCCTCCACAGCTTCTGCCCTTGCCCTCAGCATCCCCTTTGGTACAGACAGTGCCTGTGGCTGTGGCCCCCTTCCACCCATCCTGATGCCTGAGAGACTGCAGGGCAGGTCATGGGGGTTCTGGCCAGGCTGAGAGGTACAAGAGTGGCACAAGAGGTGAGAATGTGTTTGTGGGCTCAGTGCGATGCAGATTGCTGCTGGCACCACGGGCAGGGGTGTCAGCTGGGGGAGTTTGGATGCCAGGGGCACAGCTCATGCTCTTTGCTCTCCTGAGTGCATGTGGGCAGGACTGTGGTGGTCGTGGCAGGACTGGGGCAGGCACTGGCCTGCTGCCCGGCCCTGGGCCTGCACCCACCTGGGCATGTGCCTGGCTCACTGCAGTGACCGGACCACAGAGTGATAGGCTTGTACTATCTCCTCGCTGTTGGGGCAGGTGTATTTGAATTCCTTGGTTTCGCTGGTGCCATTGAGATAACGCCACACACCGTGCAGGTCCTTGGGGATCCTGAAGTGGTGGTAATGCTGGCACACAACCTGTGGGCAGAAACGGGGTGAGGCCTTGCCCAGCCCTTTGTGCACGTGGTGTGCCAAGGAAGGTCTTGTCGCCGGGGGGTGGTATTCACAGACAGTAGCCAGCCAGGAAGTGTGGCAGGGGCCCAGGGCACATCCCTGGCACTGCATGAGACAAGGGGTGGCACCCAGCAGGGGATGCGGAGGGGAGTGAGATCTGTGGGAAGGCACCATGCCAGGCAGGGGTCATGGGGAGGGGGGCAGCTGGGTGATATAGGGGTTGGCAAAGGAGCAGGGGGTTGCTGCAGGCACCAAGGGGGAGGTGAGAGCATGGGGCCAGCAGCGTTGAGAAGCCAGGACAAGAAGAAGGGCATGGCACCAGGATGCCCACGCTCACCTGAACGAGAATGAGCTTAGGCAGCAGGTTGCAGTCAGCTAACATCAGCTGGTCCCCATTGAGGAAGTGGTGCCGGGAGGCCTGGAGGTGGGAGTCATGGGCCAGCTCGTGCTCCAGAGGGGCACTCAGGTACTCATCCAGCTTGAGCAGGGCCCGCAGCAGGCTCCGCTGCTGCACTGCAGGGGGGCAGCAGCACTGCTGGGTCAGGGTGCAGCCCCGCTGCGGGCATGTGGCCCTGCAGCTCTGCTGTCACCTCCTGCTAGCCCATCCCTGTGCCCAGGCAGCTGCTGCCCGCACTCTTCCCTCCTTGCCCAGGCTGGCACCTGCCCCTGCCCCACCAAGAGAGCCCTGGCATGGCCACACTGAACTGCATGGGGAGAGGCAGTGCCTGGAGAGACTCAGCTGTGGCCTGGGGCAGAGGAGGGCTGGAAAGGCTCAGAGTGACCTGACTGGGCTTCGAGGTGGTGGCACCTGAGAAGTTGCATGGGGTGTCCCCCCACCCAGCTCCTCACCCTCATCCTGGGCAGGCACCGGATTCTTGATGAAGGTGGAGAACTTGTGGAAGATGTCATTCCCAGCCAGTCTTGACTCCCTGTACCATGGGATCAGGCTGGGGAACCTGCAGTGTTGTAGGCACAGCTGAGGAAGGAGAAGAGGGGCTGGCAGGCTCATATGCTGCCTGCCCACCCCCCTGCCTCAGCCTGTCCTGCCCCTCTTTGGCCCCTTGCCCCCTCTTGGGGCAGCACTGGCCACTGACATGGGGGCGCCCAGAGTGTCCTCCAGGAAGTCCTCGATGGTGACAGTGTCAGTCTTGGGCTCGCCATTGTAGAGCAAAACAGGCAGCTGGGTGCCTGGTGCGAAGTCCTTCAGTATGTCCAGTGCCCTGTGGGAGATGGGAACAGATGCTGATGCCCACACATCGCGCACGTGTGTGTGTGTGTTTTTGTGTGTGTTTGTATGCACACGTGTCCTGGGCAAAAGGACGAGGTGGTGCCTCCAAGGCTGCTCCTGCCTCAATTTGTGCCCATGGCAGCTCTGCCCTGGAAAATGTCCACTGACCTCCCTCAGGCAGCAGTGGGCAGCTGGGGGGGTACAACAGGCTCCATGCATCCCACAGTGCCCACCCTTCACGCCCATTCCCAAGGTGTTGGGGACCTACCAGCTTCCCATCAATGTACCAGGGCAAGGCTGTCCCAGCCCACTCATGGTCCTGACCCCATGGCTGGCAACCCCCATGGCCCCATGGTGAGTAGGGGGGCATGACTCACCTCTTCACATCCCATGGTGGTGAGGGTGAAGGGCACCCCTTTGAGCAGCAGCACCATGAAGAGTCACTGGTAGAAGGGGCAGTGGCCCACACTCTCCCCATCCTCGCGTGCGGGCTGAGTGGGAGAGCCCTGCTGCCCCTTTGCCCTGGCATGGCCACAGCAGGGGCTGAACTGGCCAGGCAGCCCTGGTGGGTGCAGGGTGAGGGTGGCAACGGCATGTGCCACTCCCGTGGCCAAGCCCGG